TCATTTGGAACAAGATCATTTTTGGGCTTATTTCCAAATTAATTCAAAAATAAATAAAAGCAAACCCTAAGTGTTTGATTAGTGTTTGATCTTATTTTGATCATGTTTTGTGACCAGTAGGGTTTCAAGATCAGTGGTCGGAGAGTTCACCGTAGTGGTCGGAGAATTCGTCGTAGTGGTCGGAGAGTTCATCGTAGTGGTCGGAGAAGTCGCCGTAGTGGTCGGAGAGTTCGTCCGTAGTGGTCGGAGAGTTCACCGTAGTGGTTGGAGAGTTCGCCGAAGTGGTCGGAGAGCTCGCCGAAGTGGTCGGTGCTGACGTGGTCACATCCGTTATGAATATGGTTTGGTTAGTTTGGCTTGTAACTGTACCGTGAAGGAAAGTTGTATTCAAGGTGTTGTTATATTTTATGCACCATGAAAGCATTATGTTTACATTATCATCATGTTGAAGCATATGCTATTATTTCATGTAGAATCCGAGAGTGAACCAATTCTAGTTGAGCAAGTCCTATAAGAATCCCCGGTTGTCACGGGATTAGATAATTGTGGTACTGATCCGGAACCAGAGATCATCAATGCAGGCAAGCCCCGGTTTATGCATTAAACCATTACCTTGTTTACTTTGAAAAGTTTATCACCTATGTTACTTATTGCATTACGTTGATTTATTCAAATGTTACCTACTTGATGCATTGCCTACCTTGTTAATTGTTTACCATCCTTGAAGATGATTTCATTTACAAAGGCGTAGAATTGCTTAGTATGCTTTATGGTAGGTTTTCAAAGTAAAAGTTTTGATACAATCAAAGATGGCATACTGGCCAAAGAAAGAACGAAGGTAGAATGAACTAGAGACTAGTCGGGCGACTTATCTTGAATGTTGAGTAATGTTGTCGACTATGTCGCTTAAAGGCCACTCATTGTGGATCTTCTGAACGAGACACTTTGTAGTACTGGTCACATACTCCGGTAAGCCTACTTCGGCTAATCCGATACTAAGACGAATGCCCACGCACTGAGAGTGGTGAGATGGCGGGAGTAGCGTGTACCCTCATGGCTTGAATGTGGCCGGATTTGAGGCGCGCTGTGCTCTCGGGTGGCGTGGAGACGGCTTAGTCTAGGAGGATCCGGTAGCGAGGTTGATATATGCAAGATTAAGTTCTACATATGTCGTGTGATAAGGAATCCCCAGCTGGAACTTGAATCAATTCGAATTGCCGGTGCTCCGCGGATATGGAGACTCGATTCATTATAGAAGCAATGCAGGACTGGTGAATTACTAAAACATGAGAAAAAGAATGGAAAGAGAACGATTGGAACATGGGATATGAACACTTGGTTGGAGATAATGAACTAAAGCATTTAGGGGTAAAACTTGAAACTAGGATCAAGAATAGTAAGCTTTTGGCAAAGAAATTTTGAATCTTTCTACATCCTTACCTTGACCCAACAACTGCATCCCTAAGCCCTTCGCCCTTTTTGGTCGGGTCAGTCTTGTTGAGTACTTTTATACTCAGAGTTTGTTAACCCTTGTTGCAGGTGAGTCACATGCGCAGGCTTGTTTTGGTCCATGCTGCATGTTAGTGTTTGAAGTCGACGACGATGAGGAATGATGAATGGCCTTTGGACAAGGCACTAGTTTGTATGAAATAAATAATGTTAATGTAATATTATCCCGCTACTATTGCTGTATGACACTTATGGTTTTGTAAGTTTGAAATAACTGGTTTGTAATATTAAAACTTAAGTCTTTCGCTTTATAATCTCTGGTATGTATATTGAAAAGTGTTGTAATCTGCAATGACTGTGATTGGGATCCTGTTTGAAAAAGATTCGTGGATGATTTGGGTTTTCCGAGGACACCCGACAGACCTGTTAAGTTGTTGGGAACTTGTGTACGCTATCTGAGGTCTGTTGAGACATCAATAGGTGCACGTGGACCCGATTTCTTAGGAGGTTCTGCCACACCGAGTGCCCAGATCTAGGACACTCGGCAAAGGGAAAAATATTTTTTTAGGAAAAAAATGAAAAAAACGTTTGCGGAGTGCTCGGATCCAGAACACTCGGCAAACAAAATTTACTATAAATCCATCGGGCGCCCCGCGCCTCCTCTCTCCAAATCCGCCGCGCGCCCGGCGGCCCTCCCCCTCCCGGCGCAGAGGCGTCCTCCCCCCTCCTTCTCCCAGCGCCCCCTCGCTGGATCCAGCTCCTTCCCTCCTTCCCTGGCGGTGTGGTGGCGCGGATCCGACGCCCTCTCCTTCCCCGGCGGCGTGGCGGCGCGGATCCGGCGCCCCCTCCTTCCCCGGTGGGCGGTGGCGTGGTGGTGGTGGGCGGCGGTGGCGTGGTGGTGGTGGCTTGTGGCGGCGGCCGTGTGAAGCCAGGGAGCGGAGGCGAGACGGAGGGCGTGAAGCTGGGCCGCGGCGCAGGGGAAGGGCGCCGCCGAGGAGACCGACGGCGGTCGGCGGAGACCGGCCGGTGGTGGCTTTTTTATTTTTCGAAAAAAAATGTTTGTGGTGGTTTTTTTTATTTTTCGAAATTTTTTTTTGCCGAGTGTATTTTGGGCACTCGACGAAGTCTTTGCTGAGTGTCCGACAAAAAACACTCGGCAAAGTCTGTTTACTGATAAAAATTCACCGAGTGTCGGTTGCCGAGTGTGCTCTCGGCAAACCCTTTATCGAAGTGTCTTTTATGCTTTTGCCGAGTGCCAGCTCCTGGTTCCGTAGTGCTAGTTCATATGTTGTTCTGTCGGCTTTTTGCATCACCCACGTAACCCGATTTGTTCTCACATTACACTACTATATACTATAATAAAGGGTTTTATTACTGTAATAAAATAGGATTGGCTAACCGCTAACGCTTTTTGTGGGGGTTGAAATGGATGTCTGGAGATCGTAATTATTTGAATCTGTATACCTAAAAATATGAAATATTGATATATGTATTGGTATTCGTTTCTAATGAATACTCCTTCCATACTAAAAAAAAATCGTTTTGGACAAGGCTTGGGTCAAATATTAGAAATATAAATCATAAATAACTTTTAAGTTGTTGAGTTTGAAAATGTGAAAACCATATGTATAGATTTGTCTTAAAAATACTTTCACAAAAAATTACATATATCAGTTTTTGATAAATATCTTTATAAAAATAAGTAGTCAAAGTTGTGCTTTGGAGACCGTGTTGCTGTCCAAAACGACTTTGTTTTTTAAGTATGGAGGGAATACATATATTTGAATCCATTTTTCATTTCTTTCTCTATAAGATTCCACATCCGGGAAAAATAGATGTATATTTATCCGTATCCATCAAGAATGTAGTACTATGTGAAAGTATGTAAATGTTATTCACATATATGACTAATGATTAAATATACTAATTTCAGTATTAATAATTATGTGCACGATGAAGCTATTTAAAAGTAATTATTAATGACATAATTTTAATACTACTAATTATGTACCCATTGGAAATATTTAAAAGTTTTTAATATAATTAATGATAAATACTACGTAATTATTTAATTTTAGTATAATCAATTTTCATTAGTGTTTATATGGAAAATTATATTAACTTTAGTTCTCTTTGAAAAAAAATAACTTTAATTAACATGATAGTGATATCTAAGTTTGTTTTTCAATAACTTTCATTCTCAACATTTAAAAGTTGAAACTAGTGTTATCCTAGATTATAATATAAATGGTAAACGGTCAACCATAGCGATTAGATGGTTTAGATGACCAACAACTAGATGGTTAAAATGGTTTGCACTTTAGCAGTAAATATACATATAAAATTATAATCTTTTATATAAATTTTTCAGTGCAACTAAGGCAGCAACATAGTTGCAAAATTTGACTAGACACTAAGTAATTGTAATGTAGTCATGCATACAGTCATATAGACATCGTTTAATTAGCACCAAAAAATTCCTCTCCAGGCGCACCACTCCAATTATGCCTGCTCAAAATGTTTTTCTAGCATCTAAATTTCATGGTTCATTGCCTACATGACTGTTTAACTCATGTTTTGGTGTTTACACCTGTTTAGTCACTATTTAATGCTATTGTTTAAACCTTTTTTGACCATTTTGACCATTTAGACGCGTCTAGCGTTTAATTCAGTGGCTAGGGCCTAAACTATACGTGAACCCACTGTTTAACGTTAAAACGCATGTAGATGGCCATTTAAATGCGCTTAGACAAACACTAGCTGAAACTATTTAAAAGTTTGTGTCTGCAATAACTAATAGTTCACATTTTATTTTATATACTAGTGATGCACTCATAATAAATATAATAATTTACAATTATAAAGATTTTAGTTATTGTTTACATGTATAGATTGTAGTATACTTATTTTTTGATCTGTCATTATATAACCTATTTTTTAAACCATTGGTTACCTGGGTGTATACTTATGGACAACTAAGGGTGCGTGTAGTACGGATCAGATCCGGATTCTTATAGAAATATTTTAGATTCAGATTCTCTCAAAAAAATGTTTCAGGTCATGAATAAGAATTATTTTATGAAAATATTTAGCTATCGACTGAACTCTGATTCAACAAAAAGATGTTTTAAAATAAAAAATCATACTGATTAAAATGTACTTAAAATTTTTTAAACATTTTGTAGGTGAAGAACAATTTAAATACAACTCATTTTAACTTGTTCCATACAATCACTAAATACAGAAGGCTGAACTTAAAATTTTGAGCTGTAAAAAAAAATTTTGTGTGAGGTGAAAAAACAATGTGGAACAATTTAAATATACAAAACATTTATGGAAGAGCTTTTTTCCACTTTAAAAAATACAATCACTAGTGCATACAGAAAGGCTAGAAACTGAGTCGATCACTAGTGGTGTTCGACCTCTCACTCGTCGGCACCCCTCGAGGTGAGGACACCGTACCTCTCATCGTCAGTGCGCGTGCTTGAGCATTTGGGCCACGGGCACTTCTCCCTAGTGCGTGTGTGTCTTGGTTGGCAGGCGACGAGTCCATGAGGCGGCTCCGAGCAGCCATCGAGGGGCTGGACGTCGGGGTGCTGGTGAACAACGCCGGCGTGTCAAGGCCGTCCATGGTGTACCTGCACGAGGCCGACGTGGAGGCGTTGGTGCGGATGGTGCGTGTCAACCTGTGGACCCTCACGGAGGTGACGGCCGCTGTCCTGCCCGAAAACTGGGCCGGTTGCAAAGTGACTTTTCTTAGTACTTACTACAACAACAAAAAAATGTGATCCAGAATCAATGCTAATCTATTATATCATGGTCGCACCGTAAAATGAGTTTTTTTGGTGAGCTATCCATTTTTTATAACCGTTTGACCGTGACACCATTTTATATGAGCCTTCCGTCGTCCGAGATTTTACTCTTCCTCATTAATAACCGTTTTGATCAGACACCGTGTCATATGAGCCTTTCGTCGTCCGAGATCTTATATTATCCTGCGCCCCCCTTAATCCCATGGCTTGACTCCCTCTCAGTCACGTACCCCTGCACAACGCACTTAATCACACAGCTCGACTCTCTCTCGGTCATCACAGCGCGGCAACAACGTTTCAATTGGACCCGACGTCGTCGCCGTCGCCGAGCCGCTCGGCGTGTCAAGAGGAGAGGCGTCGAAGCCTCCAGATCAAAGATGGAGGCTGGATCGCGAACAAGGGTGCAGCTCATCGCGGTGTGGCAGAGGTCAAAGGAGGAGGAAGACACGAACGCTGGAAGGCTCAGGGGAGCAGCCAGGACCGAAGGCGTCGCCGCGACTCCGGATCTATCTGTCAACGGAGGAGGAAGAAGCGTATTGTTGGTGTGTGTTTTAAAAAAAAAAAAATATGTGGACCCAGTAAAAAACAGAACCGTGAAGGACTTTTTTTTATTCCAGAACCGTGAAGTACTTGAAGGTGGTGGGCAGGAGCCAACGAGCCTAACGCTTTCAGCAAGACTAATTGCGTCGAATTTTATGTGGACCCAGTGATGAAAACTCTAATTGCAACGTACGATGCAGCCGAGCTGTTAGTATTATATAGTCTCGAAATTCCCTCAAAAAAGTATTATAGTCTAAAAAGCAAGAGATAATTAGTTCATAATTTCATATTCATATATAATTTGGACAATTTATAAAAAAGTATTTAAGAAATGTTATTAATCGAAACAAAATGAAACATGATTGAGAAAAAAAACTTCTTAAGAGAATTTATTTTCAAAAAATCTAAAGAGAATTTATTAACATGGAATGGATTCAAAGACACGTGCATGTGGCACGTGAATACCTACTAGTCTCCTACAACTAAAAAGAACAAAGTATGGATATTTTTTGGTGCGACATTTATTTTGGTTCGTCCGTCTGCCCGCGCCTGCGATCCCACAACATCTCCCGCATGCTGCGTCCTTTGGTGCGATTCTCCTTAATTGAATATTGCCTGTCATGTGATAGAGGAATCACGGTAAAATAGGAGGTAGAAAGTTATTGTGCTATCCATATACACATTGCATGTTTGCATGCACCAGCATACATAGTAACGAGCAAAAGGAAAGAGAATTAACACAAAAGGAAAGAGAATTAAGACAAAAGGAATCTCTTTGCATTTCTGAGAACCTTACCAAATCTGCCTACATTTAATTACTTTTCATCTTTGCATTTGCAAAAGGGACAGCTTTTTCCTCCTTTCATTTGGTTTCACGCTCACGTGTTTCATCGCCCTCGCTTGTTGTTTCTTGCTGAAATTGCCCTTGGGTCTGTTCATTTTGAATCATTTCTCCATATTCTAATTAAACTACATAATTTTGAATTAGAATACAAGGTAAGACATGCAAACAGATATTTCAAAACTACCTGTAAAGTCCAAAGAACTTAATAAATAAATCCTTCTGGAGGCAATGCAAATTCTCTTTAATCTTTTATTTGATGTAGTTAGTGTTATTATAGTACCCGCATGTATTCATGGGAAATAAATCGTGGACAAAACGTGAACATTTTTTGGTGCGATATTCTAACATGGGTCCATCGTCCTGCTAATATCCTTGAGGTAGATCACATAAAGGATGAGAGTCCCTCCATGAGATTGCTCACAAGAGACTCAAACTTATATCTGATCATGGTAATGTTGAATTGCTTTGCATAAAAGCATCGGTAATGATAAATGGGGACATAGGTTTTAGTATGCATAGTGGAGGAAAACTCAACATTGGCCTTCTCAACAGCTTTTTTGAGCATTTGCAGTGCTAACTTGTTCTTACTCAGATAGTCAAGAGGTGCACCATAAAATTATGCACCACTAAAAAAGTGTCATCATTGGTTGCCTTGACCTGGAAAATATGTCGAAATTAAGAATTACACCACCTAATTCAACATCTTAGAACATACACTCAAGTGAATACCTTATTCTACAATATATGTCTGTGTGGAATAGTCATAAAGCCACACATATTTATACGGTGAGTATAACATACTTTGTTTTAAAATTTTATGAGAGATTTTTTAAGACACGCAGTATTATCCATGTGACATGCACTAATATTTACATATATATACTCGAACCTGTGTGTACAGGATTATATGGAGATGCAGCGGAACTTATTCATAGATTTATTGACGCATGAAAGAAATGGATATCGGAGAATTCTTTCTGCCGATATAAAATATTATCTTAGACATATAACGAAAAGTCTATACAGTAGAGTTTGTGAGCCTGCGACGCCGCGCTCTCCGTGACTGTGTTAATTTCACGAACTTTGCTTTTTGAATTAAATATCACTTTAATGTTGGTATTTAATTTAATAGTATTGTTATCTTATCGTGCGATCCGTATGTTTTTAGTACAAAAAATTTAGTTGTCTCGTAGCAACGTACGAACACGCTACCTAATACTATAAAAAAGCAAAGGAATTGAAAATACCCACCTTAATTCTTATATCTTATATCTATATTTAAATTAAATGCAACGTATCTAAATCTTCCACGCTAATCTGACGAATGAACCCGGCCAGAAAACTTATAAATGTTTACGCGTGTTTCCCTCCGGAGATGAATCCTCTGCATTTTTTTCCACCGGGTTTTCCACCCACGGTACACACCCGCCCGCAATCTCCGTCTTCCCTGTTATCCCCCAGCCCCAGCAAAACCTCGATCTTCCATGCCTTTGTCTGCCCACCCTGCGCCGCCGCTACCGAGGTCAAGGCGCAGTGCCTTCTCCTTCGCACCAGCGCCCGCCCGCCACCCGCTGGAGGAGCGTGACGCGCGGGTCCTCGTCACGGCACACGTCGCGCAGGACCGGCATCCCCCTTCTTTGATCCATTGGCGCAGATGCAAATCGCTAATCCACCATCCACCTGATCTCATCCATGTCCTGCCGCCGTCGTCGCCAACGACTATAGGTGACGATTGGTTCCCAGCCGGCTTCCTGTGGAGGAGTTCGGTCCCCGCAGAGGTTTTACGGGCGGTAGGTTTTGCACTGCTCAAGAGAGCAGATAGACAAGATTCAGGGGAAGGCCACGGGTGCTTGGTCTTGCTTGTGATGTGCTCGCTCTGGTTTTTCTATTAAATTGATTTTGCTTATTATTCTTCTGATGTTGCTTTTACTAATCCAGGTGCAACACTGCTGGGGATCAAGAAATATTTTCGTGGCGGTGGCAACGCGCTGTACGATTGGCTCGGTGATGGCTCATCGCAGGGCTTCTGCTCGTGGTGTGGCATGCTATGTGTCTGTGACAACATCATCTTGTCGCGGCCATCGGCAGTCTGCCATGTGTTGTCTCAATGTAGTGATGGTGCATTATTTCCTTGTATTAATTTCAGATGCTGAGATTGGTGGTTGTTCATTGCTTGAAACTCTGTAAGTAGGTTTCAAAAATGGTTTAGTTCAGTTATTCGTTGGCTTGTTGATGCCAGGATCTCAGAATGTTGTTTCAGGGACTGCTATGATTAATGGGTGCATTCAGAACGGTGATACACCTTTCGCTGCTCCTATTTTTAGCAGAATGAGAGAAGATAGTGTTGCTCTGAATGATTTCACCTACTCGACAATTATGACAGCAACAGTGGCCAGCATACCTCTCCAAATTCAAGCTCAGGTGATCAAGACAAACTACCGGTATACACCAATTGTTGGAACTGCACTTCTGTCATCTTACTCGAAGCTTTGCAGCACTGAAGAAGCTCTTTCTATATTCAAAATGATTGATCAGAAGGATGCTGTTGCATGGTCTACAATGTTGACTTGCTATGCCCAAGCTGGTGATTGTATGGTGCCACAAATGTATCATCAAGATCACCATGCATGGCTTGAAGCCAAATGAGTTCGCGGTTGTGGCCCAACGCCAGCGTCTCGACTGGTCAAGTGGTGACGCAAGGACGCCGCTTGTCCGGCCGCTGCCATGCTGAAGCGAGGCAACACCTCGAGCCTACTCGACAAGGTAATCTATTTTACCTGGACGACTGGATTGGAGGGAATGTTCAGTGGTACAGTAGAGAGTGTGGGTTGCAAGCTATATCGAATCACTCAGCTGCTTATTGGGGATAAAAATATATGTATGTGACGCCAGTCTTAACAAGTATGCTTTTATGTGATGAATAATATATTAGTGTTTTTGTATAGTATGACAGACAATGCCAATATATAGCTCACCGAAATGAAGCAGAAAGAAATAAATTATACTCTGTTTCTGGCTCTGCAAGATACAATATCGATTATCAAATTAACATATTACAGATAACATATTGATAGCAGATCATCCATTGGCCCCTTGTATGATTGTTATCGTATTACTCAAATTCAGGATGCTTTATCAACTCCTCTTGGAGCTCGTACTGTTTTTGGTGAGATAAAAAATCTGGTTGTCCATAATATTAACCCCTGTTGGATTTGCTTGTTTATATGGATTTTTTACTTTGTTCGTGGCAGTGGATGGTGTCCTAATTCTTGCTTATCCCCTTGCTTCTTTTTCTCTAGGTTGTCATGCCATTAGATTCATGCACATAGTGGATAGTTACTGATGCTATATTCTGTTTTGCAATGCAGATTCATGAAGGGTGTTAGGGATATTTAGCAGCGTCATTACTCATCAGCAGGTACGCTTGCTTTATTCATGTGAAGTCTAGAATAAAACTCGATAACAAATTTGATAAGATTAACTGGTTTTCTATGCTATTAACTTGATTTTATTCTAAACTTGATACCTGATATGGAGCGAGTGCACACAAGGCTGATACGAAGTGAGTGAGCATCTCGTCGGCTGATTATCGTCTTCGTGTAGCACATATATTTTTTGCATGTTTGATTTGATATCATAGACAAATTAGAAGTTTTTATATTTTGTATATATAGGTGATTTTGTATATAATGAATAACATTAATATTTTTTACGTTTTGAAATTGTTTGAACTTCAACTAATTCAAATAGGAAATAAGTGATCTTTAGAGCATAATAGAATTGGTTAATCACAATTGACATTTTCAACAGTGCTAGACGGTCCTAAGTCCTAACATAGGAGGCACCTCACATTCTTCTCTGTAAGGTGATCCCGCATATATAGTTGTCGAATTGAAGGTAGAGCAATACTAGACACGTGCGTGCCGCACGTGCATATCCACTAGTTGCATAAAAAATAAGTATCAGTACCCATACTCATACATAACTGACGACCCACAAGGCTCAGCTGATGAAGAACAAAATCACAAAAGCATCTATATAGAAAGAGCCTCGTGCCCTCATGGCCTCATCTATGTGACCGTGCACTCGAGAGCAGGAGACTATATAGTACAAGTACAGCCCGTATTGGAATCACTTGACATCTTGGCACTCCACACGACATGTTCTACTCTCCACGAAACACACAAATGCTGTTAACTGCTCGACCCCTGGATTGTTACGTTTTCAGATAAAGCAAGTATAACTCGTACCAATCTACCCTGTTGTTATCTTCCTCCTGATAGGTCGGAGATCGTGCCAAAGCTCGCCACCAGATCCGGATGTGAGATGGAGGACCTGTCAAAGTCTTTGCCCTGCATCATCGCTAGCACATCGAAGCTGGGATCCGTCGGTGTCAGCTCCGGGAGTGGCGTCACGCCGTCGAGATAGCGCATGACCTGCGCCATGCCTGGCCGTGCGTTGGCGAACGGGTGCGAGCACAGGATCCCTAGTTTCAGAACCAGTCCCGCTTCGTCGACGTCGTACTCGCCGTGAAGCCCCGCGTCCACCGTCGCCATGAGCGACCCGTTGCGCCAGTGCTGGAGCACCCAGTCGACCAGCGCCACATGGCCGCCGCCACCGCCGCCTTGCGCGTTGATCTCCTTGATGGGTTTCTGGCCGCAGGTGAGCTCCATGAGGAATATGCCGAAGGCGAACACATCTGTTAGAGGGGACGCCCTGCCTGTGCGCAGCAGCTCGGGGGATAGGTATCCCACGGTGCCAACCACGTGTGTGGTCTGCGAGTCCGTGCCATGGTCGTACAGCCTTGCCAGGCCAAAGTCACCGAGCTGCCCATTCATGTCTCTGTCCAGCAGCACGTTGCTTGCCTTGATATCTCTGTGCACAACCACCTTCTCCCACCTCTCATGGAGATAGAGCAACCCTGACGCCACGCCTTTGATGATGTGAAACCTCTGTGCCCAGCTCAGCTTTGAAGATATCTCCCCTTGACTGCTGCTGCTACTACTACTGTATAGATATTTGTCAAGGCTACCATTTGGCATGTACTCGTAAACCAAAAGAAGCTCACGTTTCCTCCGGCAGTAACCGAGCAGCTGCACAAGATTACGGTGCCGGATGCGGCCCATACTTGCTATCTCGGCGACGAACTCCTTCATCCCTTGTCTTGATTCGTGGGACACCCTCTTCACGGCAACCTCTAGCACAGACGGCCCAAGAACTCCTTTGTAAACCCTCCCAAAACCTCCTTCACCGAGCAGATGCTTATCCTTGAATCCGTCAGTCGCGTGGTAAAGATCCTTGTACGAGAACCGGTGTGGCCCAAACTCAACCTCCCAGTCCTCGCGCAGCTCCGCGTACCTAAATCTCCTCCGCACAACGAGAACAGCAGCACCTCCAAAACCAAGCACCAACGTCGCGGTAACAATGGGTAAGACGATTTCCAGGACCATGGACCGCGGTTTGGGACCAGGTCTGGCAGCTTGGAGACGTCAATGGCAGGAGCCGGCCTGTTCTTGCCGAAGCTCCAGCCAAGAACGCAGTGCCGCGAGTTGACACGACCGGTCGCCGACGAGAAGCCCAGGTAGACTAGGTCCGTGAGCACCGTCGAGAGGTCGTAGGAGACGGAGAGCAGTGGCCTGACTGGTCTGGTGGCCATTCGGAGGGGAGCTAGCGTCACGTTGATCTGCTTCTTCTCGCCGCTGTAGTCCACCCAGACCTTCATGGCCTGACGGCTAATAAGCTTCAGGTTCTGGAACTCACCGCTCTTGTCGTCGTAGTAGCCGGCGTTGTAGGATCGCAGGGACTGCAGGCCGTTGACGTCGAGGCCGACGTGGTTGGCGTTGATGTCCTTGAACTCGACGCTCTGGATGGTGTCGAGTTCCACGGCGAGCAGGTGGTTGCTGGCGTTGCCGTCGTTCTGGACGTTGGTGAGGCCCAGGTACTTGGCCGGCAGTGCAGAGGAGAAGTCCTTGCTTGGAGCTATGAGGAAGGCCAAGCCGTGCGCGCTGAAGTCGGGGTACACGGAGACGATGCCGAACACGAAGGCGACGGAGAAGGACTGCACGCTGCCGTTTGGTGAGTCGCGGAGCCGCAGCGGGGTCGGGTGGAAAGCATGGCCTTTGAGGTAGGCCGTGCCGTTGGTTAGCTGAAGGAGGCCGTCCGACGTGACGGCGGCGGTTCCGTCCACGGTGAGGGCCGATCCTCTGAAGCCGGAGTAGACAAATTGGTCGTCGTCGTCGGCAGTGGTGTCCGACGCTCGAGGGTGGAGGCCCAGGGCCAGGAAGACGATCAGGAGAAGGCGTACAAAGAGCATTTTGCCTCTTGAGAATTCAGAAAAAAATTTGTCCGATTCCGTGACATGTGACAAAGATCAAGAGATGTTATGAAGAGTGGCTGTACTTTCTTGGGCGTGCATCACGGTTTGCATGTATATCCATCGTTTTACTTGCAGGGAAGAAGTCGATTGAACCACGCAAGGTCCGCTTACGTCGTCCTAGGGCACGCTTGGTTTCTGGGCAAGGCTGCCTAACCTTTTCATGTGTCAGCACAACTGTGGGCAGCCATTTACCATTTCTTATTGATGTTTTGGTTGTTTCTTTAGAAAACATAATCACACACATACTCACTCTCTATCCCATAAAAAATATCGTTATAAAAATCATGCTGGTCTAACTAGCTTAAGTTTGATTAGATTTTCTAAAAACATCGTCAACATTTATATCTATAAATAAATTTATTATAAAAATATATTTAGCGATTCATCTAATTATATTAATTATACATTATAAATATTAATATTTTTTTATATATGTTTAGATAAAAGTTATAACGCTTTACTTTTTGGGAAGTGAGAATAATATTTTTTGTGAGAAGGAGGGAGTATATATTAATAAATGATTTTACAAAGCGTAGGTTTATGGATGGTGCCCTGCTTAGAATGCAGTCTCGTGGTGTACGATGCTTGAAGGTGGAGGCCAAGGAAGATGATCAGGAGAAGGCGTACAAAGAGCATCTTGCCTCTTGAAGAATTCAAAGCTTGTCGGATCCGTGACATGTGAGTCTTTGAGAAGGATCAGGCGATGTTTGAAGTGGCTGTACTTTCTTGGGCATGCTTCATGGTTTGCTACGTACTACCTCTGGCATTCTAGGTGTACTTTTTGTTTCTGTGTTTAAAGTTTGATCAAATATGGATATAAAAATATTAACGTTTTTTATACCAAATAAATATATTATAAAAATATATCGCATGTTAAATTTAATAATACTTATTTTATGTTATAAATGTTTAAATTTTTATATATAATTAGTCAAACTTGATATATAATGATGTGCTACAATTGCATTCTTTGAGTATATATATCCATCGTTTTACTTGCACGGAGGAAGTTGAGTGAGCCACGCAAGGTTCGCGTCTTGGTAGCTTCTGTCCGCATTTTCATGGTGCCCTTGTCAGCTCAAAATGTTGACAAAATATTCAGCACAGTTCAAATTTTGTCTTTTAAAATAAATATTACATGAAATCAATAAAAATGCAATAAATATCAGCTTTTAAGAGATGATGTACCAAAACAAGTTAATTTTCCTAGATTTCCTTCAACTGACATGCATGCAACTACATATGTAACTACTTTACTTCAACTTTCTTT